AAAAAAAAAAAAAACTATTCGATCATGGATTACAAAAAAATCGATCAAGTATTACAAAAAAATCTATCATGGATTACTTACAAAAAAAAAAAAAACCGTACGGGACTCACCGATTCCGTACATTGAATCGGCAAGTCACTGTACAGAATCGTTCGTTTCTCTCTAGAACCGGACGATTCCCGTTTTTTCGCCGATCCGATCTGTCCATGGCGATTCCCGAGTCGACTCGGCGTTTTTTAAACACTGGTTTTAGGGGAACCGGCTCGGGATTGATGCGATCCCTAAACTGATTCGGTCTTGGGCCAAATCAACGATCCAGATCGCAAACAGGATTTTAAAACGACGGTACGGATGGACGGTTAGATCAAGAGCTCGTTGGAAAAAAGGTTAAAAAAGACAACTCCTGGGACACGCATAGGTTCATACGTGTCATTTCTTATTCCCGAGTGGGTTTAGAATGAATCAAGTGCACAATTGTCTGACACGTAGAAACCCGCCAATGCAGGGGCCAGAAATTGAGAAATATTGCAAATATTATATTTGCGTATACGCCTCGTCTGAACACACGTTCGCATGGAGTTGCAGAAAAACCGAAAGGACAAATTTCGCGACAGTTACGACTTGGACATTCGGAAAGGGTAAAACGCATAGACACAAAGAGACAGAGAGAGAGACTACCCAGTTCTACACTAGGCGCTAGAGAGAGAGAGAGAGAGCTCACACTCTAAGCGCTTTGCTAGTATCAGGGCTGTTCCCTATAATTTGCCTGATACTGGTCTCTGAAGCGTTTCCCGAAGACAACAAATTGATAATGGCATCTGCACATCTTCGAAGCCTAGGAGAAGTCAGAGCTTCTCTGTACCTTCCTTTAAACCTCCAATAATTGGACGTATTGTGCATACTTGTAACCTTCACTTGAGAAGCTTCTTCAGTGTTAACAATGGTGGAGGAAGATTGGCTCGACTGTAAAGGATAAGCATCGCTCTGATGAACCTCAATCTCTGTCATCGATGGCTTACTGTCCAATTTCCTCAGATCTGATCTCCAGTGAGTACAGTTTGATCTCAATGGCCTTTTTGAACGACTTCTTTTCACTACCTGTAAATTCAAAACCAGATCATACAATGTTTCTAAATTGAGAAATTTCAGAGGCGATAAGGAACTTAACGATCAACTCTGAAAATGAACTAGCAACTAAGAAAAGGAACTCAATACTGATGAGTTTAACATTGTTTTTTACATGAAAATTTGCAGTTAATGAGGAAAATGAACTATGATCTCTGAAAAATTCTGCACATTTCAAATGAGCTCTTAGATAATTTCACTAGAATTATAAGAAATCGATGATCAACTACAAAAATGAGCTAGCAACTTTCAAATCAACTTTAGATCATAAGTTTTAACCATGAAAATGCCACTAAAAAAGACACCGAAAACGAACTCCGGAAATCAACTCAAATAGTATATTGCAAATTTCTTTTTATGGCGTTTTATCTAGCATTTCATTTCCTGAACTTCAATCTTCGGACTATTCATAGACCTTCAATAGCGTTATCAGTAGCTCATTTACTGATCCAAATGCTTCAGAATAATTTCAAAGAAACTGAGAAGCTGAGATCATCTCAAAGTACCGATCAATCTAAGTTGCGGATATAGGCATTACAACGCTTAATACAAGCAAAAACTCAAGATCTATAGTATGAAATAAAAAAAAAACAGATCGATCAAAATCACTCGTCACTTATGAGAGAATCGGCATATATCCATTTAAATCTACGCTAACCTTTAGCTCAAATTCGTAATCCAGAGCAGCCGTAGCCAGAAGAAGGAGATGTTCGATATCTCTGCAAAAAAATTGTGTAGTCAGATCAAATACAAGTCATGAATTACACAGATGCAGAGAAATAAGCTTGAAAAGCGTCAATGGAGAGTATAGGAGCGCTTGCCTTGAAATACAATGCGGAGAAGAAACAGTGACAGAGGAAGAATACGAATCAGAATTGGTGGCAGAAACAGTGTAAGAAGACGAATAAGAAGAAGCAGAAGCAGAGAAAGAAGACGAATATGAACAAGAAGAAGCAGACATAAAAGAATAAAACGAAGACGAAGCCAAACCAGAGGAAAAAGACGACGATGAAGAAGTAGAAGAAATGGACGAAGAAGGTGGAGAAGGAGAAGACGAAGTTGAAGAAGAGAGAGAGTGGAAGAGCAGTAGCAGTGTTGTAGCGGCGGTTAATTCCTCCGCTTCTCTCTCCATTTCTTTTGGAGCCTTTTGTGACTCGAATTAGTGGCGGGATGTGAAAATTTCGATTTCCGTCCAGAGGGCGGGCCCATTAATTTATTTGAGCCCATATTTTTTTTTTTTTTTTGAAATATGTTTTTACTAGGCACCTGAACTGTACACTTGTCTCAGAAAATGACGAATATAGTCCTGAAGTTTTTGAGTAATGTCCTAAACACCCAGCCTTTTGTTCAGCCGCAATGTTGTAACTGACGGTCTTGATGTGCCTTACATGGCATGTGCTAAAGTCTGACGGTCCAAAGGAGGTCTGATCATGTGGCATGAACTCTAGTCTCCAGAGTACATAGGTACTGAGAAATTCCGTCTCCAAATAATGAGAATAATCAAACAAGTAAAACGTTTTATGCTTCCGCTGGAGCTTAATGTGCATCGGCTCCGTCGAGGTAAAACTCAAGTTAGGAATATTATTTAATAAAAGTTTATATAAGGTCGCAAACTTATACTATAGAAGTAAGATGCATCCTAAAAATCCTTTAAAAAAGAGTATTTAGGAGTTGGAAAAACTATCCAATTGATCGTATCGACCTTGTACACATATAAAGAAGAAAAAATTTTTGAGTCATTGATTTTCAAGAATTTCAAGTGTTTATAAATCTACTTGATCTGGATCAGTTTTTTCATTTCAAATTTTTGTAATTAAGGTTGAACATGGATCTTCAAGCCATGGTAGGATTTTTTATCCGAAACAACATCTTATGACAAAATTTAAAAATGTGCCTTACTTGTATAATATATAAGGTGGGTACCTTGTACAAACCTTACCCTTTTTTATCCAAAATTTTGGGAAGCAATATTTACAACCTAACAATCAACTTCAAAGAAAATAACTAAACATAACTCTCTATCTGCCTCAAAGAAAATAACAAAACATAACTCTCTATCTGCCTCAAAGAAAATAACAAAACATAACTCTCTATCTGCCTCAAAGAAATTAACTTTCCAAGATTAAACAAGAACCGTCCCATTTTTGGAGGGCAAGGTTTTGGGTATTCAAGAACTTGCAATGCAAAAAAAATTTCCAAAAAAATTTATGTGTTTACTTAGATAAATCCCAAAATTTTAGATTAAAAAACAATCTTCCAAGTAGGTTTTTTCCCGAGGGAGAATCTGTACATTACCCTCCAGTAGAAGTATAGTTTATGTGCTTGTTAATTGATTTATTAAGGGAGTGAAAGGTTTAATTAATGCACGTGTTTTGTGCAAGGTTTTAATTTTAAGTTGACGTGAAATTCTATTCTCACCCTAAAAAGAATTTAAAGCTCTTAAAGAAGTTTTGCTCAAGCAAATCTATAGGGCACATTGGGTACGTGTGAAAGTAGTTTCATAGAAGTATTTTCATGTGAAAAATTCTCCTATGTAGGGAATTTTTAACACTAAATGGCTGGCTACCTATTAGGGGCAAGCTTTCTATCCTTCCCCTAGAAAATAAAATTTAAGCAAAATTGCTAAAACACCTCAAGATGGACTTTTTACCCATTTTATACCCACCCAATTTTTCCTAGCAACTCCCCCTCTAAAAACTGATGTTTTCTAGCTAATACCATAAAAAAGTTCACTTATTTTGGACAAAAATACCCCTTTCTTCACATAACAAATTATTTTCGTTAGAGAGGGTGGTCCGACATTTTGAATAAGCGGTTCGGTGATTTTTTTTGCTAGAATGGGTCCGGCATTTCATGGTGGCGGTCCGGCGATCAATTTTTTTGTTGGAATGGGGCGGTCCAGCATTTGGAAGTTACGGTCTATGGTTTTGAAATTGCGGTCTGGCATTTTGAAGGGGCAGTCCAGTGTTTTGATATGGCAGTCCAGCATTTTGAAATATGCCAGATTGAGTAATCCGGCGTTGTACAAATGTGGTCCGGCGTTTCCATGTATTGGGATCCGAAAATGATTTTTCATGTGAAGGGAGGGTATTTTCATTAAAAAAGATGTAGCTTTTTGAGTTTCACATAACAAATTGTTTTCTTTAGAGAGGGCAGTCCGGCATTTGAACAAGCGGTCCGGTCATTTTTTTTTGCTGGAATGGGGGGTCTAGCGTTTCATGGTGGCGGTCTGGTGATTATTTTTTTGCTAAAATGGGCGGTCCGGCATTTTGAAGGGATAGTCCGGTATTTTGATATGGCAATCCGGAATTTTGTAGCGGCAGTCAGGCGTTGTACAAATGTGGTCAGGTGTTTCCTTTTATTGGGATTCAAAATGATTTGTCCTGTGAAGGGCGGGTATTTTTGTCAAAAAGATGTAGCTTTTTGGGTTGGGGGTATTAGTTATAAAAGGTGGTTTTTGAGAAAAATACGTGACGAAAGTTTACGGTGGGGGTAGAGTGTCTAAAAAATATATTTTTTGAGGTTTTTATCAATTTTGCCTAAAACTTATATACTTCTTCTTATCCAACCGTCCATGCTGAATGGAGGACTAAGATTGCCCCAATCACTATGTCATGTCTCTACACTATTTTATATTTTATTTTTTTAATATAACCTATTTTGACACCAAAAATTGTATGTCCAATCCTCTATTAAATTCGCACGAAGAAAAAATATAAAAAAAATTATTTTTAATAAAATAAAATAATCAAAATACCCTTAAAAGTTTCAAGGGGTATTTTAACCATTATATTTTATCGAAAAATTATTTTTAATATTTTTTATAGGTGTGCCCCAATGGGAAGATGGCACATTCCAAATTTTATGTCCATACAATTTGTATAAAAAAAAACTAAAAGTAAAATACTTTGAGACGTTGGATCTAAGATCAAATGGTGAGTGGCACTTTTGATCAAAATTGGATGGCTGGATGGTAGGGAAAGAATTGATCTTCTATGCTATAGGGGAAGTATAGAAACCTTTTCCATCTATTAGTATGAAAAAATACGCTAGGATCAATGGGGGTGAAAAAATTCCTACACCTAGTCATACATGAGTGTTCTTTTATATGAAAATTCTTTCACAAAAATATTTTCATGCTTGTCAAATGTACCGATAAACATTTAATTTTTTAGAAATTGATAGTCCAGATAATATGTTACAAGATGCATAATTTTTAGAACTTTTAACTTTTTTTTTATATTTATAAATCTTGAAGTCAAGATGATCAATTAAAAAAATTTCCAGCCTCCAAAGAATAATTTCATTGGTTTTTTTTTATATAGTGCAATGTTGATGTTTTATATACAATTTTTTATATTTAGTTAAACAACACTAATTCATGAGAGGGTCATGAGGATCAGAGTGCATAACTGTATAAACTCTTTCGATATTCCTAGTAGGCAGTTTCTTTGTGGACAGTATGCTCATACGAGAGTATAGCATAAGCGGTCTTCTTTGTCTTTCTTACCGACTAACTAGTTCTATTAAAATCAGTAATTTAAAAAATACCGGGTCAGCTCGAAATCATGGTCCGATTCGGAAATCAGTCATCCCATGTCGATTCTGTCAATATATAGGAAATTGCATGGGTCAAGAAGAGAACGAACCAGTGGTTTAAAAATTGCCGAGTCGGCACAAAATCGGCTGATTCAACCGCTCATCCCGTTCTGATTCTCACTTATAACCGAAAATCGGGCGTGAGGCGAACTGGCAATTCATAACAACTCATAACCGAAAAATCGCCAAGTCGGCACAGAATCGGCTGATTCAACCGCTCATCCCGTTCGATTTTCAAATCACCGAGTCGGCACAAAATCGGCCGATTCAACCGCTCATCCTGTTCCGATTCTCACTTATAACAAAAAATAAGGCGTGAGGTGAACTGGTGATTTGTAACCACTCATAACCAAAAATCAATTCTTGCTTATAAGCAAAAATCCCATTCCGATTCTCGGATATAACTGAAAATCGGGCCTGTAACCAGGCACAACTCGACGATACGCTACAGTGTGTAATCAGGCATAACTCGGCGATACTCTACAGTGTGATTCGGCAAGTCGCAACAATGACACCGGAGGGATAGGGGTAAGCTATCACAATAATGACACCGGGACACCGATAGGGATAGGGCATAACTCGGCAATACGCTATAGTATGATGATTCGACGAGTCTCGCAACAATGACACCAGTAGGGATAGGGGTAAGCTATCGCAACAATGACACCGAAATCGATTCTTG